AGTTTTGGAGAATTCGTAAAACGATAGATTGACTAACACTTAGAGTTTATTTATACTTTTATTAAGTATAACATAAGATTTTGTGGTATCCACTTGTGTAAATATTTTAAATTGAAGATCGAATTCATTCATTGTATTCATATAGGGTCAAGAAGTGTAGTTATAAAAAATCATCAAAATCGGAGTTAAAATAACCGTTAAATCGTGATTTTTCGTTTATAACCGTTGAAAAGCTTTGTTCCGTTACTTGATCTCTGAATGTTTTTTTTTTGTGAATTTTTGCTGATATGATCTCCAAGCATATACAAACAATTTTGACGGTTTGGATCGTTGAAATTAGTTTTGGAGAATTCGTATGCCATCAATCAAGTTCCGTGTGTGTGTGTGTATATATATATTTATTAAGTAGATTTAAATCTATTTATTTTGTACGTATAAATTATAATTGACTGGTACACGGAATAGTACATACATCACGTGTCACGTGTTCATTATAAAAATAGTGAGATATGTCATGACAGTCATATGTGTGATAAAAAGTTAATAACTTAAAAAAAAAAAAAAATTTCTCACCACTTCTATTAATTTTCATTTTTCCCTCTCTTTTTTGTTTCCTTTTCAACTTTTTCTTATCATTTTCACTTTTCCCTCCAACATCTTTCCCTAATTCCCTCACTTTTTTGTTTTATTTTCAACTTTTCTTAACATTTTCATTTTCCCTCCATTTTTTTTTTCCAAAAAGGACGGCAAGTTGGCAAATGCATGATCATGCATATTAAATTATTAATTAATATGCATTATAATTTTTATAAAATTTAATATATATATATATATATAATATAATTAGTATAGATAGACTTAATATTTTGGGGGTATAATTATTATAGTATATATAATTATTATAATTATTATAAATTTTATAGTTAATTTAATATATATATATATATATATATATTTATTATAATTTTTAGGGGTATAAAATTGTAAAATTAATGTATATAATTATTACAATATTTTTTTAGGGGTTATAAAATTATAAAAATAATATTCTGCTTATCGTGTATCGTGTTTACCCACGTGTATACCCGACCCGACCCGTTATCTTAACAGGTGCTTATCGGGTTACCCGATAAGACCCGATTCGTTATCGTGTCGACCCAAACACCTGTTAATTTCGTGTCGTGTCGTGTCGGGTTATCGGGTCGTGTCAGAAATTGCCAGGCCTAATGTAGGGCTTCTTGTGAAAAAAAAAAAATCATGTTTGTTTTACAATTGTCTTGGAAGGGGAATAAAAAGGCTAGATATTTGTTTTAATGTATATTTATTTTGGAGTTTTTATCATAAATGGTTTTTAAAATTGACCTATATTCTCACTTTTATCCTTCAATTTAAAAATCAATCAGTAATTCTTGAAATTGACTACCGCACATTAATTTAGTTTTATCATTACAATACGTTAAATTTTCTGTTGATGTGCTGATATGGAGTCCCATTGCTTCTATAATACGGTGCCACGTTGATTATAAAGAATATAATTTTTTGAAAAGTTTCTTAAAATTTTTAAAACCATTAAGAAAATAAAATATATATATATATATATATATATATATATATATATATATATATAAGGTATCGTCACTGAGCAAGACTTGGAACTGGGAAAAGCTACTGGTCATCTCATTTTCGTTTGGTTTAGCTCTATTTTCTCGTTCGCCCACTCCCAATAACCAAACAGAAAATCTGAATGCAGACCCACTCTATTCTCTTTTCCGTTTGCTTTTTTCGATTTGCGGCTGTTTCATCTCCTTTCCTAAAGCTTCAATAAACCTACCCTCAGGATGGTTATTACAAGCTTAAATTTAAAGCTTCTCTCCTGCGAATTGGAAATTGGCTCAAAAACCTTGTTTATTGCACAACAAATTTTGCCCCTTCTGAAATTTTAAACTGCTCAGTTCAACTTCAACCAAGATATTTCTTAAGAAGCCGGACATGAGTGAGCAGTACTCCTCCTCACCCGAAATTCTGAAAATGAGTTTCTAATGTCTCCTCATTTGCAGCCAGTACCGCACTTTGCCACCACCAGTTGAAGGTCTTCGTCCAAGATAGCAACGCCGACGCCTCCACATCAATGCCCTAGGTTACGAGCGATGTGAAATTTCCCCTTTTTATTTTCTTTTTTCTTTTTTCCTTATTCCATTTTTAAATAAATTTTAGAACTTTAACAATTTAAAGAATTAATTATTTTTTATATAATCTACTGTGGCATCGTACTGTTGGAGCAATGGGTCTCACTTGATTGTCATGTCAATACATTAATAGAAAATTAAATAGATTGCAACGGAAAGGACCAAATAAAATTTAGGATAATGTACAAAAAACTACCTTAATTATTGGTCTGATGACACTTTCATACCTTGTCTTTTTAAAATGACAATGACATACATCATCTTACGAATTTATGTCAATGTCATACCTCCGTTGGTTTTTCTGTTAATTTCTCAGTTAAATGCTGACGTGTCTTGATTCAATACCCATTTTCTATTAAAAAATTAATAAAATATTATTACAAACTAAAAATATCATTTAATATTTTTTAAATATTAAAAAATAAAGAAAAGTTAAAAAAAAAAACAAAAAAGAAAACAAAACCAAACAAAACTTCCCCTCTACGCGCAGAAAAAAAAATACACAAAACTTTGTCCCTTCCACCCCCCCGGGGGACGCCCTCTCTCTTCTCCCCCATCTTCATTTTCTTTTATCTTTTTCCCCTATCTGCTGCAACCTAGAAAAAAAAAAAAAAAAACAAAAACAAAAACAACCAGTTGTCTTCCTCCGCACCCACCCTCTTCCCTCCTCTTTTCCGTTTGCTTTTTTCGATTTGCGGCTGTTTCATCTCCTTTCCTAAAGCTTCAATAAACCTACCCTCAGGATGGTTATTACAAGCTTAAATTTAAAGCTTCTCTCCTGCGAATTGGAAATTGGCTCAAAAACCTTGTTTATTGCACAACAAATTTTGCCCCTTCTGAAATTTTAAACTGCTCAGTTCAACTTCAACCAAGATATTCCTTAAGAAGCCGGACATGAGTGAGTAGTACTCCTCCTCACCCGAAATTCTGAAAATGAGTTTCTAATGTCTCCTCATTTGCAGCCAGTACCGCACTTTGCCACCACCAGTTGAAGGTCTTCGTCCAAGATAGCAACGTCGACGCCTCCACAGCAATGCCCTAGGTTACGAGCGATGTGAAATTTCCCCTTTTTATTTTCTTTTTTCTTTTTTCTTTTTTCCTTATTCCATTTTTAAATAAATTTTAGAACTTTAATAATTTAAAGAATTAATTTTTTTTTTATATAATCTACTGTGGCATCGTACTGTTGGAGCAATGGGTCTCACTTGTTTGTCATGTCAATACATTAATAGAAAATTAAATAGATTGCAATGGAAAGGACCAAATAAAATTTAGGGTAATGTACAAAAAACTACCTCAATTATTGGTCTGACGACACTTTCATACCTCGTCTTTTTAAAATGACAATGACATACATCATCTTACGAATTTATGTCAATGTCATACCTCCGTTGGTTTTTCTGTTAATTTCTCAGTTAAATGCTGACGTGGCTTGATTCAAGACGCATTTTCTATTAAAAAATTAATAAAATATTATTACAAACTAAAAAAATCATTTAATATTTTTAAATATTAAAAAATAAAGAAAAGTTAAAAAAAAAAAACAAAACCAAACAAAACTTCCCCTCTACGCGCAGAAAAAAAAATACACAAAACTTTGTCCCTTCCACCCCCCCCCCCCGGACGCCCTCTCTCTTCTCCCCCATCTTCATTTTCTTTTCTCTTTTTCCCCTATCTGCTGCAACCTAGAAAGGAAAAAAAAAAAAAAAACAAAAACAAACCAGTTGTCTTCCCCCGCACCCACCCTCTTCCCTCCTCTACACACCCCACTCCTTAAATACACACCCATTCCTCCCCCACCCCCCGCCCCCCCATTTTCTTCGCTCCCAAGTTCTCCACCTGCAGAATCGGCCTGGCAAACGGGTTTTCTTTTTTTTTTTTTCTTCTTCTTCTTCTTCTTCTTCTTCTTCTTCTTCTTCCTCCTCCTTCTTCTTCTTTTTGGATTGCAGGGGGTTGGATTTGTTTTTTTTTCTTTTTTGGGGGGGGGGGGGGGGTTGATGGGTTTTCAAATTTTTTTTTTTTTTGGTTGAAGATTAAGCAGGGAAGAAGATGAAGATGGGGAGAAAGAGAGAAGGGGGGAGGGGGTGGAAGGGACGAAAGGTTTCGTGGCAGACTAATGGAAGGAATAACATTTGCACAAATTCGTAAGATGTGGTATGACATTATCAATTTTAAAAGATGAGGTATGAAAGTGTCGTGACATCAATAGTTGAGGTAGTTTTTTGTACTTTACCCTAAAATTTAACATATTGTAATGGTAAGGACCAAATTGATGTGATGTAATCAATTTTGGGTACGATATTAATTAATTTTGAAATTAAGAGATCAAAGTCAGGATATAGGTCAATTTCAAGGATTATTAATAATAAAAACTCTTTATTTTGGTTGCAAAAAACTAAGGAATCATTTGGAAGTAGCATGTCTTGAAATAGTAGGTGAGTCTTGTAAGTAATTAACACGAGGAACGTTGTTTATCTCATACTCATTCTTCTCATCTATCATTCCTTGTCAAACTCATTCATTATTATTTTCTTAACATTTAATTAAACACCAGATTTGTTAGATTAGATGTTAGATTAGTGAGCTGACGAGATTCGAACTCATGATGTAGTGTAAGGACAACACTTTTCTTCACCATTGTGGTAGAAGATCAATTGCAATCATGACCATTATTTTTAAGTTTCAGTTTTTGTTCGTAATTCTGAAAAAGTTAATGTTGTTTATTCTCAATTTTAGAATAGTTAAAATTGGAGACTTTTCTATTTAAATGCTTTTCTTCTTTGAGAAAAAAACAAACAAACAAACAAACGGCAACAAAGATTCTCAAGTGGCATCATAGCTTGAGATAAAAAAACTAAAGGAAAAAGAAGAAACTGATAGTGCAGCATGGTGATCATCAGATCAGATGAGAGCCATTTGCTGGACGTTGATTGGATAAGAATCAGAGGGTGGGCCGCTATAAGCCCGCCAAGCAAGGATGGCATTTGCAGCTTCTGTTGGGTGGAATGCATCCCAAAACATGTATTGATTTCTATTAGAGCATGGAACTGCATAAGGCAGGCATGTTATCTGCCCTCTGTTCCTCCCAATTCCACAGCATCCCCTATCAATCACACTGAACCCTGCCAGTGCCAACCCCACGGTTTGATTCGGTATCACTAAAAACTCAAAAAACTAAATGGGTATCAAACGTAACGTAATGTAATGAACGAATATGTATATAGTCAACAACTGTTACCGTAGGGGGCAGGATTATTGAGCATGTCACCAAAAGCACCATAGGTGTTGGCGTAGACAAAGATGGCATCAGGATGGTTGGTGTTGAGTTGGTTGACGAGTGATCTGAGGCCTTCATTGTAGGTACCAAGGATTTGATTCACATAGTCCAAGCATCTTTCGGGCTGGGCCGCTGTGGCTCTTTGGTTTGGGATGCAGCCCAGTGGCCCAATTCCTGCTAGCACAAACTTTCTTAATCCTACACTGTGCAAAGCCTGCATTTAATTTCACAAAAAAATCATATTTATCATTGACTTCAAGTCTCATAGACGATAGTAGTTGAAATAGTGAACTGGTTGGCATAATGTATGTAGTACCAGAATTTGTCGAGTATAGCGATTAAGGAGAAGGTTGGCGAAGGCAGGAGGAGTGTAGAGGTAGCTGGAAGTATAGAGGGAAGGCAAGAGGTAGTTGTTGATGTAGTCATTGCTCCCAAACGCCAAAACTGCTATGGACTTTGCCAGGTATTGGGTCAGGTTGGTTCCACTCATCATCGATCTGAACTGATTCAAGGTGCTCTCAAAGTTCAATACTTGCTGACTCAGGCTATACCGTTCTCCCTGTGTCACAATTTTCATTTTCACGAGGACAATTCATTTAATAAATTATTGAACATTAACATGTAAATAAAATAGACTGATCTTATTATATATAACGTTAAATAATGTTCATACAGTACGTAAATAGTACGTACATAGTGTTGGCCTGTCTCATCAAGTATGCCAGCAGCTGCTGAAGCATAATTTACTCCCCCAAGCATTCTGGTACCTTTTGTATTAGGATCAGCGTAGGCTGGAACATATGGGAGACCCAGCAAATTCCCTGCAAATTCCACAATGTATGTATAGCCAACACCATATTATATATATAGCCATGATATCATTGACATGAGAATATAAGGGATAACATTCGATTTTGACTTGTGTTATCAAACAAATCCCTAGCTGAATATGTTGTATTCATACTGGCATTAACCTAAACAGGAATCACTTATATTCAAATAAGAATCAAGGTGAGACGTATATATGGGTTTTAGGGATATGCATAGAACTAATTAAATAATGAAAAATTAGCCAGGTAGGTTAAGTAAAATTGGTACGAACCAAGGAGATCAACAAAAGTTCTTCCATTAGTGAATCTGCCAGTAGGGCCTGCCCTGAAATCGCAGCCATAAGGATAATAATTGGATTTGGCAAGGGAGTTGAGGAAGTTGTTGTTGCCAACATCAATCAATGAGTCCCCAAACACAAACATTGCTGGAACCTGCGCTGACTCCACACTACTACTAGTAGTCGTCGTCGAGGTTGCCCCAGTATTTGAGCAGCAGCACTGCACAAGCAGAACCAGCAGCAAAACCGTAATAATATTTCTCATCGCAACTCACAACAAGTTTGTAAAAATATATTCCTATTCCTATTACTAATTAACATATATGGAAAATTGGAAAGGAATAGGATGGAGGTGATAGCTTGATCATATGATCCATGCATACTGACGATACAGCTAAATATGGATATGCATATATATATATGGAATGAAAGTAATTGGAAAGCCAGAAAACCATGCTTTTCTTCAAACATTGGGACTTGGGAATGTCTTTTTGACGTCCTTTTTTCCGTTTTTATCTTCTATGCGTTTGCTTCTTTGCGTGTTATGAATATGAATGAAATGAGCTCATATAACATGTAGTTCCTCATCCCTTTCACGTAAGTTACGTGGACCCACCCCTTGCATTGTAATCATATCATATCATATCATTCGGAGACTGGAATTGGTTTTCGCTAGAAGAATTTTGCAACCATCAAATACATAATAGGTAGGTATATTTCTAATCCAAAACGCAGTCATTTTTGGGTTTAATCTGCGTTTTCTTGTTATGGTGTTCAACTATTTAGTTTCTTCTTCTTGATTTTGTGTATGTGTTAAATTGTTGACTCAAAGTTTTCTTCACCCTTTTTTTTTTTATATATATATATATTCACGTTATGTAATATATGATAATTGCAAATTTGCCATGCACTACTGATTTATATACTCCTCTTTTGTTACCTTGAATGAAATTGAACCTTTTACTCAAGGTCAGATTCCTTAAGGGACCTAATGAGTTTCAGGTGACACACCCAGATCCAAAATGTTTATCTAGACATCCAATTCATGACTTGATGGCCAATACCTAAAAGGTGACAAAGCCATAAAGATGGTGATAAGAAAAGTGTGAATAAATAAAAAATAAAAAATAACTAAAAAATGGTGCGCATGTGAACAGGGCTGAACCTTTATTACATAGCATATGTGTCAGAGCATAGATAAGAGTGCAGTATAAAGTAAGGAATGTTCTCATCCTAGAAGAATGGATGCTTTAAACAATAAAAGGAAGAATTTCCCACTTTAACAGAAGGGAAGGTTAGCGTTTGCCAGTACTCCTCATCGCCACAAAAGCACTGCCACTAAGTCCTGGAGGGACGAAAAAACAAAGAAGAGTAAACTGAAAAAGCAAAGTTTAGTAAAAATGTTTTTGTAAAAGCTGTAAATCCTCGCTGTAAAACATGTATGATTTCCAAACTACTCTTACTACTCGTGTATATAACAATAGTACCCAACAACAACAGTAATAGATTAAGTATACGAATATAATAGTGTTAAGCAATAAATATGCAAAGCTAGCTTATCAAATCATGTAAGCACACAAGTCATGCAGAATTAACTACACGAACAAGCTCAGTGCATAAGGATTACGTTCTAGTACTACAATCACGTGAAGTTGGCGCAAAGCGTTCACATACCAGTCCTAGTTGTCTATTGCAATCTAGGGACAAGGCTAGCACCTACTCTAGATCCAAAGTGAACATAACGGTGCACGTGAACATACACGTGAAGCTGGTCCTGGCCCAGACGGCACAAATAAAGAAAGCACTATGTAGACATTTATGATCATCAGTGTTGGAACCAAATTCTCGCATCGCAATGAAGGTGGAGACTGAAAATTTTGTTTACTTGCAAAATATTAAAGAACCATATGTAGTCAAAGACTGAGGAGGGGGGGTGCGCCAGTCAAGGCTATTGATAGTCAAGTTAGTAAGCAATATTATGAGACTCAAGAAGTAAGTAAGAGAATAAGTGTGCGATAATTGTGTTACCAAAGCTGAACTCTAGAATGGTGCATTTATACCAGTCAAGGTAGAGACCTCTTAGGATAAGGAATCTATACTAAACTAGGAGAATCTTATAGGATATCTAGGAAGATATTGCATCATCTTAGGATGTGATTACTTACGGCGTACGCCAATCTTTAGATTGTAAGGACTTTAAGATTATATGGAACCTACTGTTCTTTGCTAGATTAGGTTTCAGTATCTTACATAACAAACAGGTCAATCTTAGCAAAGACCTCGAATTGCCCATTGCTCTGGAACAGAATGATGGTGGCATCGATGCTTCATTTATTCAACTCCGCTAGGAAGCCGTTTAGTCCATAACCAAACTTTTAAGGTATTTATATTCTGATCAATCTTAGTGCAGGCCAAAAAAAACATTGGTCCTATAATTGATCCTGTATTTGAAAATGACTTGTTACTCTTGAGGATGAATAATTATTGAAAGACCATCCCATTCGAAGTAATTCAGAATGCGTAACGTTTTAATTTTTCTAACTCGTGGCATCTTGAACCTTAGAGCAAGTCCACCCCTAAAAATGCGATGGCACCCAACCCATTTAATCCACTCAAATGAATAGTAATTGACCCCAATGAACAGTAATTGGCCAAATGCATTTGCACCTCTAAAACTAAATAGCCTATTCAATTTTATTAAAATATTATTAATTTTTATTATAAAATAATAATTTGATTTTTATTTTCTGACTTTATAAAAAAAATTTATTAATTTCTGACATTTTATTTATTTATTTTAAAGTTTTTTGGTTAAAAAATCTGGACCGTTGATCTAAAAATCGAACGGTCCAAATTATGCCACATCAATAGTCGTTAATTTTGAATTTCAAATTTTTTTTGCCATTGGAAATCCAACGGACATAGAGGCGCCACATATCCCCACGCCACCCATAATGCGCCTGCAACGTTGTCAGCAACTCGCGCTCACATGTGCGTGTTTTCCACTCGCTTAGTGCAAAAAAAAAAAAAAAAAAAAAAAAGGGATTTCAATGGCTAACATCATGTTGACGTCAACCTGGCATCATGTATGCCGATCTCTAGCATAGTCAATTATGTGATGGGCTCAAAGCTAGCCTCCACTTTGGGCCAGCCTATTGGGTGGGGTGGAGTGGATTTTTGGGGGGGCTGGCCTAAAAAATAGGCTTTGGGCTGGCACATTAGTTAGGTTATCTCCAACCGAATGGTCCAGAGGGCTAAAAGATCTAAAATAGCCTGAAAACCATCTCCAACCGAGGGCTAGGCCAAAGGGTTGTGCAATCTGAGAGGGTCCCATGGAATTGGAGAGGACTAGAGGGCTGGAAGGCTGACTGGCCAGAAAATGGAGCAATCATGTCGGTTATAACTTTTTTTTTTTTTTGGTTTTTTGGGCCAATTTATTCTTAAAAATTCTAATTTTTTTTTTCCTATAAATACCTAAACCATTCATTAAATTTAAATTCTAATTTTTTTGGTTTTTTGGGCCAGTTATCATTGTAGTTTTTAAATTTAAGTTGTTGTAGTTTTTAAATTTAAATAATAAATTATGTTTGGCCCTATGGTCCTCGGTTGGAGACGGTTTTTTGTGACAAGGCTAAAACGAGCTCTATGGTCCTTTGGCCCTCGGTTGGAAACGGAGACAAATATGGTCATGTACTGTTTATTAAAATATTAATATCTTGAAAGATCTTGGAGGAACAGAAGGCTAAAACGAGCCATCTAGCCAACCATGGGTTGGAGATGGCCTTAGAGGTGGAAGTGCTCTTATGAATGTTGCAAAAGCAATCAAGATGTTTCGTATTCAGGCATTGTCGCCTTGATGAAAGTGCCATCAATGTTGCAATAATGGAGACGTCTTAGTTGCATGTGCATACAGAACGAGGAATTGTCCATTGTTTTCCCCCATTAACTCTAGCCGTCGAATTCACTGATCTCGAGGTGAAACGATCCTGATTCAATGGTGTGATGATCCGAAAGATCTCCTATAAACATCTTCCGATCTCCTTCTCGTATTCTTCAAAATTCCAAATCATTCGTTTAAGAAAAAGTTCATAGCTCTTTCCATCTTTTTTGCTTGGATTTCACTGTTTCTTCAACCTTTCTTCCTTCGATTTCTCAAATTTTCAATGGCTGTGTCCTCAAGCGTGATTACTGCCATGGTCGTCGATTCTCCTTATGACGCTCGATTAGTCAGAGTGCGCAGTAGAGAGGAAGGTGACACCTTTATATATATAACAACACCAGAGCCTTCTAAACAAATGTAGAGTTTGGTGGGAGGCCGGCTGTAATACTCAAACAGCCTTACCTGAGCCTTCTGACCCTCAACGCCCATGTATCAGAATCCATCCTTGGTACTTGGGTTTAGGTTTGAAGTTCCCATTATCAGATATTCTAAAGATAATTTTAATATGCTACATCATGGCTCAAACATGGCTCTCTGACACTTGTCTCTGGCTGCCTTTAAATTTATCTCCTGCTTCAAATTGCTGAACAAATGGCATGTGGCTGATCTTGAGCTTCAAGAGTTTTACATGTTGTATGATATGAGAAAAAGTTCTGACGACCACTACTTTTAATCAAGGCCCAGCCTCACGTGGTCGACGTATATCTTTGATATCCCCTGACATGATAAGGATTGGCACAAGGACGTCCTAATAATTTATGGCAATTGAGAGGGTGATATTTCTAGTGTTTGAGTTAGGAATGTCCCTTTGCCCGACCTTCGATCAGACAACGATGTGAAGAGCATCAGGCTTTGTCGTCCGGAGCCAATGGAGTGTGCTTTCAAAATTCTTGCTAAGCATCGTAGCTGGAAATGACTGACTTTTCCTGCTCGGTTTGCAGAGCACGGTAAGGACGCTATTGTCAATCATTGCTGCAAATCCCCGATTTTTAACCTGTACTTGATCAATGCTGAGGAGATTTAGAAGGGTCGTTTCAGATTAAAAATTTCTTAAAACTAGACAACAAGAAACGCAAGAGGCCTATTGGCGTGTCTCCTAAGCTCATTGTGGAGGCACCTCAAAATAAGAAGTGGTTGCGGGTGAAGGTTTTGGAATTTTACCAGGAGATTTTGAGGTTGAGGAACCAGAGGAAATTCCTTTGGTCAGAAAGAATTCCACCCATGCCCCAGTGAACGCAGCTTGTGAAATAGCGGAGCTGCAGCCTCATGCAGAAGATAATCACCTTCTTTTCTACCACTAGTCTAGCATCAAGAACAACGACAAC